CTGGCCGTTGGTGCAGGCAGCGGATGAATCGCACCATTTCTTCCTTCATTGGGCCTCAGCAAACAGTTGCCAGCCCACACTTTCTGCTAAGTTTCCTGGGACAGCTTAGTGCCCCTGAAACTACCATACTGAACACAAGACCTGGAGCTGGACCAATGCCCCTGCTCTGAGTTTGCTTCTTCTACGTCAAGAAGCAGAGCAAGCCCCTCTCTTGCTTGCATTTTGGATCCAGAACCTATTTCTGCTAAAAATCACCCACTCCCTGCCCGGACTGTTCTGTGCTGGAGCAGTGCCTCCCGCACTGCATTGCTGCCCTCTCCTGGCCTCTCCAACAGCCGCTGGGCTCAGGAAAGTTGCAGCTACAGCTGCTCATCTCTTCTTTGAGGCCACGAAGCTAGGAATCCTTCCCGAAGCCCTGTGTCCCTCGCATGGCAAGGCCTGGCTCTGAAAATGAAGAGATTTGAGGCTGAGCTTTCTCCTGCCCTGCCCTGTATAACCTTCACCCCAGCAAATGCTCTGGCTTAAGCTCTTCCCAGGGGCTGCTTTTTCAGGGGTGTATAAAAAAGTGGTATAGGAAGGAAACTGAGTCATTCCTTAGTGCAAGACTGACCGGGAAAGATGCCTTCCACTACTGAAGACAAACACTTGGTTCAACCTGTATGATAGGTCCCCTCCTTGTAACCCCCAAGTCCCGCTGTGTCTGGAGCATCCACTGTTGCAGAGAGATGCAAATAGAAGCCAATCTTTATTAGCAAAAGGAGCGGTTGTAGTCAGAGCTACTTGGGAAGAAAAATTCAGAGAGGAGAAGGGTATCCCTCTATCTACTGTTGCTGGATATTTCAGCCAGTGTGAGGTGATTGGGGACACAAACATCAACGGTAGCTGGAGGGATGCTGTCCCTCAATGTTGTTGTGCACAGGGAGGGAACCTCAAAAAGTGTCCTTTCTGTCCTCCAGGGTCAGCACAGGAGTTGTCTCATCAGTCACTGTAGCAAGGTTCAAGGTCACGGCAGGGGATGGTGCTCCATGTGTGTGCTCCTCATCACCCCCCTGAGATGTGCTGGTGTCCAGATGACTGGTGTCACTGGCAGGTCCAGCATCAGGGCCAGCCTGGGGATCCTGAAGAAACTGGTCACCATCTCCATCTTCGTGGTGCTTCCTGTCATCTTGGAAGCCCTTGGAGATGACACCTGGTAGTCTTGATAGAACCAGTAACAAGAGCTGCTACAGAAAGACAGAAGCCCATAGTGAAAAACAGGAACTTAGTGCCAGGAACAAGCACCAGAGCCCTGCAGCCACCCAGCACCAGTCCTCAGGGCCAGGATTCCCCAAGGCCATACCCAACCACTCCCTATATGGCTGTGTAAACTATTGCCAAGGATTATCCCAGCTGTTGGTGTCCTGCACCAACATGGTGCAGGACATGTCACCTGGCATGTCACCTCCTGCTGGTGTCACAGTGATGGGCTCAGGTTTTCCTTCATCTCCTGTTCCAAGGAGGAATGTAGAACTGGGGGACTCAACACCAATAATCTGCCCCCAAAATGTCCCATGTTGGGAGAAGGAGCTCAGACTTACAGGATGAAGAGAAAATTGATGGATAGTAATGCTGGCAAGATGATAAGAAGCAGGACTGGGATCCTCTGCACGATGGAGACAGCTGAGGGAAGAGAAATGGGTGGGACTGACTCAAAGGGAGAAGTCCCAGTGCTAAAGATCCTGGAGATAATCCTGATGCTAATTCTCCCCAGCCCCAGAGACAGGCAGGGATGTTGTGACCTACATTACTCCTAGCAGTGAGGTTGTCAGAGCTCAAGTCAAGTTGGGGACACCAATGTGGAGAGAGAGAAATCAGATTGTTCAGCATTGACCTGGTGTGAGGAGTAGCGAGGGAGCTGTGATCTCTTCAGGGATGGTGATGGAAGAAACAAGAGCTACCTGTCTCCAAAGGGACCTCCAAGGGCTGTAGAAGTTGCCACGACCAACATATTTGGGGCAGCTGCTCTGGGGTCCCACTGCAGTGCCTGCCCTCAGTTCAGAGTCCCCCAGTCCCCTCCCTGCCCTGCTTCAGTAGCAGATGATCTGTGTACCCTGCTTGGTCCTTTCCTTCTTGACACAGTGCATCATGGAGCTGGCACCCGGCACCCTGGTGATCATGCCATCCTTGCAGGGAGTGCAAAATGCCACCCCATAGGTCAGGCTGTAGGTCCCAACAGGGCACGGGGAGCACTGGCTGTTCTTAGGAGGGCTGAACATCCCTGGTGGGTATACAGCTGAGGAGAGGACATGTAGAAATGCCTTTCTGAGCAATGGCACTGGCTGCTTGATAAAGTTGTATTCAACATAGAGTCAGGGAAAGTGAGCCCTGATGCTTAAGGGCTCAGAATTACCCTGTCCGCTACATTCCCTGGGCTGGGTGTGCATGGGGAGAGCAGCAAGGGCTCGGAAACACGGAGCT